ATCATTTTTAGGCAGCTGCGTCAGGCAGCATAGTTTACTACTAGCATAATGACCCTACATTTATTCATACTGTAAAACGCTGCTTTCACTGTGAGATGTTTTTCTTTTCTTAAAAATCTGATGCTGCAGACTCGATCTCCACCATCCCCTTTTATTACCTTCGTCCGTTAATGTTGATAAAACATTACAGTGATGGTGGTGAATAATGAGAAATAATGAGGGGGCGCTCTCACAATATTCTTAACTTAGCACACAAGTTTTGTTTGACCTTTTTACATCATGGTCGGTTGCTAGGTAAGCAGTTATAGCAGTTGACTGTCAACTTCAACTGAGTAGGTTGAGATTTCCTAACTTGAGATAAGATGCTGCAAGATAAGATAAAGAGCCTAAATTAAGATAAAATTTGCTTCTGTAATACAAATGTGAAAAATCTTAACCCTCAAATCTAAAAGATAGGAAGTTTCTGTAATATGGCACAGCATTCTAGAATATAGTTTATAGTCGACAGAGTATCAGGGCAAAAGGTAGAAACAGATGTCATTTCACTTTTGAGCCTATTCACAGCCCAACCTCCGCTACTCACATTGTCTTTCCTTTTCCTCCATATCTACCTCCTTTTATTTATTTATTTATTTATTTTTGGGTAATTACTAGGGATAGGTATCGAGAACTGATATTAAACTGCTACCTGACATTCAAAAACGTGGGCTCACCATATTAAATTTAATGATAATGCAGCTAAATGCAACACATTGTGTTATTTAGGTTCTGTCTAAAACTTAGTGTAGTCAAAAGGTCTGGTCCATAACTGAAGCTTTTTATTTCAACTCTGCAAATCAGCATTTACAGCCAGTAAAATGAACAGTCCAAAGGCTAGAAACAAAAGCATTGTTTTTCCCTTTTCCCAAACGCCAGTACCCCACCTGTATTCAGGATCTTCAACCTAAAAGGCCCGGTAAAAGTGAAACTAAAGCAGCCAAAATTAAAAATTTATTTTCCAAATGAACTACTGACTAAGTGCATTGCTTATGGTTGTTACTATTTTCAACTGCAGGGAGATGACCACAGGTTTTTCACATTTTTTTCAAGTCAAAATTTCATGTAACGTCTTTGTTTTTTGCATCGAATTCCAGAGAGTGGTAATAAGAGTGTTGATAAGACTTAATAAGTAGTATCAGTATCATCCTACTCAGGGGTGTAAAGAGTACTGAAAATCCCTACTCAAATACAAGTACTGTTACTATTTAAAAATTATGAGTAGATTGCTTATTTAAAAAGGTAATTTTAGTCCTGCTGCCCATCAGCTCCCTAGACTCTAGCTTACGTTAACAGGTGTGAACCTCTACAGACAGTAAACACATTCACAGCCTTCAAACTGTGTATTTTAACTGGTAATATATTTCACTAGTAATCATTTCATACAGAATCAGACATTATTGCTGTATTAGACAGTTAAACAGCTACACAGCCTCTCACAGTTAAAGACAAACACAGACAGAGAGAGAGAGAGAGAGGGGGGGGGGCAAGAGAGACAGAAAGAGGGAAGAGAGAGGATAAGAGAGGGGAAGGCAAGAGAGACAGAGAGACAGAAAGAGGAGTGGGCGGTATCAGATCAGGCCAGTTGACAGTGCGACAGAAATCACTGTGCAGAGTTTACAAACAACATGTATTAGACTAGATTTCAATCTTAGCCGTTCACCACAGTTTATCTCCAAAATAGCAGCTAAACTAGGCTGTATGTTAAACAGTGAACTGTAATCTGTGGGTGACGCCTGTTAACTAAAGTAGCTGACAGACACTTGTAATAAAATATACGCAACAGATTTTAAGTTTAATAAACAGAAGCATTAACGTTACAAAAGAAAAAAGAAACCCGTAAACACGGTACCTGTTTAGCTTGGTTAACACTCCTTTAGTTCATGTGAAAATGAATACAAATGACCGTTTGGATGTGGTCTGTTCCTCGTATGTGCTGGTTCAGTTCTCCTTTGTCCTTCTCCACTTAACTGGACATCTCTGTAGTGTTTTTCTTGTCAGAGGTGCTGTTTCTTGATTGGTGAATCTTTTCAATTTAACCACGTTTTTTTATTATTGGGTGATAAGCTGATGCGCTCATTATTTATTTTCACTCTGTAAAGTTAGGAAAATTAAAGTAGCGAAGTAGAAGTATTTTGTTAAAAATTAACTAAAGTAAAAGTATGATTTAATTCTACTCCAAAAAGTAGTTACAGGGAAAACTGTACTCAATTACAGTAACGAGAGTAATGTAATTTGTTACATACGCCTCTGATTCTTATGATACCTATGCCTAGTGTCCACTGTGTCCACCATTATGGCTAAAAAATTGGGTTTGGGGAAAGGAAGTGTCATTTGTTACCATTTTTAGCAAGGTCAAAGAAAGTGTGGTTAATGTTTTGGTTAATGTTTAAGTTAATGTTTTGTCTAATTAAATGTCCCCGAGACGTTATGGGACAAAGTGCCATTTGTGGCTGTCAATACAGCCGAATGAAGATGAAATTATGACTGGACTGGCAATGCTACAAGCATAAAAAACACAGGGCTTCAGCAGACTGAGACTGTGGCTTCACAATGACTTTAAAAAGCTCAGTTGTTAGCACTGAAATCTGTGTCTAACCGACACAGGCTCAACATTTTAATGTCTGTCAGCCATCGATGATGGACGATGGCATCGTACATCAGCCCAACCCTAGTAAGTCGATGGGGTGAAACAAATGCTGATGATGACTTAGTGTGGAAATACATCAGTTTCTACCTGTCACCCTGATTAACTATATTATTAATTACAAAAATCATCTAACTACATGCAAAACTACATTCCAGAGTGTTTGTTTCTTGTATGTAGAGTTGTGTTTGCATCTACCTATCCTTTGCTGCACTGAACTATATCACCACTTATCTCTAATTACCCTTGACATAACTGGTGTCCAAGATGTTGGGTTCAGACGTGAATGCAGAGCGGTGGGATAGACTCCAATACAGTCAGGGTATGATGTTCAGAAAACGGGAACTTTGAGCAGGTGCTGTCATCATTTCTGCTTGAAGACAAGCAAACAACTTGTCAGTCAGGCGTTTGCTGTGGACTGGCAAGGATCCTCTCTGCAGCCAGAAAAAGACAACAAAGAAAACAACAAAGAAAACATTAACAACAACACCACCAACACCAATAATAATAATACTACAACTCTTTTTCCAAAAAAGTTGGGATGCTGTACAAAATGTAAATAAAAACAGAATGCAGGTTTTTTCGCCTGGGGTCTCCGAAGTTTCTCCCTCAATCTCCCTACCTCCTTTTACATCCCGTAGGAGGCAGCATCCATGATTTCTAAAAGGAATTTCTTAAATGAGCTTGGGCTGAGAGAAGTTGGTGGCATTAATGGATCATGTTTACATATGGTTTATCATTTGCACAGTAGTTTTAACTTGGGGTGGAAATCAAACAAACATTTAAGGGTGACACTAGTTTAAAAGTCTATCAATTAAATGTACTCACTCAATGCTGAGTGTTGATAACGCTGATGACAAATCAAAGTGCTCACCATCACACATTCCTGCAAAGTTGACAGCCCCGCCTTTTCCAGCTGCACCGTGCTGAGGAGAAAGTTAAATGATTTTGTGGTGCATGGCTAGGAAGTTCATGAGATGAATCATCAACATTAAAGTTGCAATCTATTGAATAATACAGCATTAAAAGGGACAGAACTGAGGTGGTTCTTATTAAATATTGTAATGCCCCCACCACAGCCTGTGGACCTCAGGTTACTTTGGGCCAAGTCTCCATAAGGAACAAAATATGTCTATTCTGGTAGTTAAAATCACTACGGATAAAATATTTATTAAACAGTGATCAAAACAACCGAAGAAAGAGACTTGGACGGCTGAGACTCGCAATGGCTACACAGTGCTTGCAAAAAGAGATGAGCCTAAAGCCTTCTGTTGTTAAATTAATGTACACTGAACTGTACAACGACTTACTACTATTTATCCTTGCCAAACTGGTATCTGATGAGAAGTACAGAATAGTAGGACAGCAAAGAGGTTGACGAAATGTCAAGTACAACCACTGGTAGATGTAATAAGACCTGAAAGAAAGAGTAAGGAGATGAGACAGGAAGGCATACATCCTCTTAAGTGAAAGATGAAATCATCTCAACCATGAACTGTTCTCTATTTTCAATGCACAGGCTGCAAATTACAATCAAATGGCTAAACTCAGACCCAAAAACAGCCAGGCCTCCCAAGTGGCTCACCTGATAGAACACATATACATATTTTTATTGGAGCATCCAAGGTTCTATTCAAGCTTGGGCCCTTTTCTGCATATCATCCCCTCTCTCCACTGTGTTTCCTGTCTATTAATACTGAATCTGTCCAATAAAGCATAAATGCCAAACAAATCATCGTTGAAAGTTAAAATCAAAAACAGCTCGCTTTTGATATTTAAATGTATTAGAATCTCACCGTTTTCCTGGGTGCCACAAAGGCCAGGAAGTCTATAACACAGGGGTATGAAAGCAATGCAAAAAAGGTGGCAAGAGTGAAAGACTTACATTTTTACACTTGTAATAAACAGAATTTATACAAGACTCGTGTGTATAGATAATTAAGACATTTTACTCTTAAAATGTTAAAACATTCGTTAGACGTGCTTAGTTTACTTACCTTAGAGGAGATTATTAGATCTTAGCAATGCCAGCAGCCTTCAACCTACTCTGGAGTGTCACAAAAGCACTGAAACAAAGGCTCAAGTGGTCTTCAGAGACCGTTTTATTCACTTCAATGCATTGATAGCCAATAAGCTCTGCAAACTCCCTGCATGGGTCACAGACGATTTCCAATAAAAAAAGTGACCAAATCTTCTGAAAAGTTGCTTCTGGCAAAAGCCAAAATTGGAAAACTCCCTGCATGTATTGTAAAATCTTGAAGTAAATTACTGTTTGCCATTTTCAGAATTATATAATGAAAGTCAGTCTTCCCCTTTAAAATGTTTAAGCTAACTGAAAGAACAGCCTCCAACAAAAATGACAAACAAAATTGCTGTTGCTTTGAACTTACTGTTCAAGTAATCATTAGGCATTAGTAATTCCACCAAAATGTACAACAAGCCAGTTCACATGAATTTAACAGAACCAAACACTGCTTATTAAAACACTAAAGCTAGCTGAAAACATCAAAGAACACTATTCTGAATGTCAACAATTAACAGTGTATACTGTTCCATACAGCTAGTACTGTATAAGAGTTCAGTTGGACAAATCCATCCTTAACATGTTCCTCTCCACTCATGATCAGAGAGATCTGCGATGAGGGTGAGGACACTTGGGTTCACGGACAGTTGTTTCTTGTTTTTCCTTGTTTCAATTTTTGTGCCCCTCTCTGGATTGATGTTGAAGAAACACCTTTGTGAACACAAGAATTCATATAATATATATATATATATATATATATATATATATATATATATACACACACACAAGTGCTTCACCAGGACTGCTGCTCTTCAAAATGAATGAAGTGGAACTGGACCTGCGAACACCACTGTGAGCTGAAAAATGTTTTGAAGAAAGCATAACACATTTTTTGTGCATTCTGTTCTTGTTGTGCATCCTTCAAACAATTTTAGCAGCTTAAAATGGTGTTTGCAGGTCGAGATCCACTTCATTCACTTCAGAGATGAAACAGTCCCGATGAAGCATTTGTTCTCACAAGGAAGGAGCTGACAGGTCAAACTTGGAAGATGTATTATATTTGTATGGAGAAAAAAATACCACAGGATGGGGAAGAAACACAACTAGCATTTTTAAACATGATGATGCGTCTGACTTAATATTTCCTTACATTAGCTTAGGCTCCTTCAGTAAAACTGAATATTAACTTACCACATACAATGATGCATGGAGTCACAGGCAAGCTTTCCACTTGTACTTCTGTTGCCAGACATTTTTCGTCTACATAGTGTAAGAGGTTCTCCTCTTTTTCCTCAAAATAGGAGAGAAGAAGGAGCACCATATCCTTGACATCTTCTAAGCAACCCTCCAACTGTCCTCTCAGAATTTTCAGCTTTGCGACAGCCTGCAAAACTCGTTCGTTCTTGTTCGCACAAACGGTTCTCATGAAGTCCAGAAGCCGTTTTCCCTTTTTTCCCACACTTGTGAGGAAAGTCTCTTTTAGTGGCACTCCAGTGAGCTCTTGGAAGTGAACCGCCATGCCAATCTCTTGGAACAAAAAAGGCCAATCCTCCACGAGGCACTGCAGATCTGTACCCTTATTTATCTCTTTACGTTGGGAGTAGTAGGTGCACTTCATAAGGGTTTTTACCTCATCTGAGCTGAAGTTAGCTTGTTCACTGAGGACCTTCATTTTGTCTTTTTTCTCCTGTTGGCTTTCTGGTGTCTCACTCACTGGCATGAAGTTCATGTCCCAACTTATGCAGCCATAAGTGTCCTGAATAGCTGCCTTTTGTTCGGCTGGGATAACCTCTGTGTCATATTCATCTGACCCCTGTTTGCGCTTCATCATCCTTGGTGCTGAAGACCGCTTCACATTTTCAATTCGGGCTTGTAACTGCTTGACCAGTGAGTGATATCCTGGTCCTACCACTTCACCTTCTATGACATCTTGCAGTGACTGTGTATACTTGGCAACCATTTCTTTGGCAACTACTGTGGAGGCTTGCTTACTGGGAGAAGCACAAGCATTCATCATCTCAGAAACAACAATCCGGATCATTTCCCTCCGTAAGCGTGGGCTTGGCCTTTTCCCCCTCTCCAAACACTGCATCAAGGCTTCAGGCAACTTCACCCATGGAATCTGGAAGCTGTCAACCCAGTGTGCAGCATTAATTGGAAAGCTGGGAGAGGGGGACGGAGAGGGAGAGAGTGAGGAGCGCAATGAGGAAGCTGGAGAAGTTAAAGCTAACTGACTTTGGATTTCAGTGTTCTGTGCTGTAAAACAAAAATAATGAAATTAATAAAGCATACTGGATGATGTTTTAGCCTTGGTATTACTCAAAAATAAATTGTCAAAATGTACTCACTGGCTTGTTTCCAGGCAGCCACCAATTTTCTCGCCTGAATTGGTCTCAGTACTGAAAGCAGATCACCTTCCTGGATGAAGTGAAAATCCTCAGTGGTCTCCACCCCCAACGATTGTAGTGTCTCCTCTACAATATTTAGAATTGAGGCTGGGAGGTCTGGTAACACCTTAGTAATGGCACTGCTTATGTTGATTTGCTCTGCACTTGCTCCATTTCTGAGTATGAAAGTGTGAATAAATCTCATTTAACACCAGAACAACAGCCCAAGACATTCATTAGTGTGACAACACACTGTGTTTCAAAGGAACCACTTGGTATCCATTCTTCATGTAAGATGGCAATGGATAGAAATTAGTCAAGTCATTGATGTTTAGACACTGCATCTTTTCACCGGCTTTCTTAACTGAGTACAGATGGTACTGAGGAAGGAATCCTGCTATGTACACAGACACCAGAAAACGGACAATGTCATTTTTTATCAAAATAAGCACTAGTTCACCAATGTCACAGTGTTCCCTGTGACAAGGAAGTGTCCTTTCTTGTATGATGTTCCCTTATACAGAATTTCTACGGTGACCTTTGTGTTGGTCTCAGTGAAGCCAAATTGTCTGACTGCATCTTGAATGGATTTACTGTATAGTACTGAGTAAAATGGAGAAGCACCTTTAACTTGCAAGACAGTCTGACCCACTGATCCAGCAGAAAGATAAGCCTGCAACATCTGATGTCTTTCGGAAAGAGTATGGCAGAGGTTTTTGAAATTCTTTCAATTCCTTGCACATCTCTTGAAATAACTGTGCTTACTTTCAAATCGCATTGTCCACAGCCTGATCAAGGGGCCAAACTTCAGAATCAGTGCTGGGTAATGACGTAAATAATGATGCTTTGGTTTGAGGTTACTCTCTGGGAATAGAGCCTTTCTTGACTCTAAATATTCTTGAATAAGAACATCTAGATATGCAACCTGAGGCACAGAGATTTTCTGAGCACATATCATGTCCACAATGTCTTTCAGCTGCAGAGTCAACTGCCACACATCATCTGCTGCATCTTTCACTCTGTCACCAATTATGAGAGGCAGCAGCCTTAGAAAATTCCAATTCTGTATGGCCTGTCCTGAGAGTTTAGCTGCTTGAGGGCTGACCTCACATGGCTTTGAAGAAGCATCAGAGGCGCAGTATTTGAATCGCTTAATGCGCCGATTCAAAGTGGAATAAGTGAACCATGCCTTTTGTTTAATGAAGTACTTAAGATACAGCGCAATGTCATTAGACAAAACACCCTCAAAGATGTCATGTCCTAGACAAGGTGGCAAACCTGGCTGACACACATTAAAGTATTTCAAAAAACTGAATACTGACTTGAATTTTATGCCTTCCACATCAGGTGTTTCTTCAGTCTGGAGGCGATCAACAGCGGAATTGTAGCTTTCAATGGTGCGCTCTGGTCCGCACAGATTTGGGTCATCACCCTGAAATTCAGATCGTGTTATAAGGCAGTACCTACAGAAATGTTTTGAGCAACTGAAATTTTCAGAGAAGCCACCAATGCAATGCGAGCCCAAATTATCTCCAGCAATGCAATATATGGTTCCTTTGACTGCTGTTTCATCTGTTAGTACAATTCCTTTCTCCTCTAATTCCATCAAGTCTGCTATTAATTCAGAGAACACCTTAGCATGCCCAAATTCTTTGAAATCTTTCTCTCTACACAATAAAACAAGTGACATGTGGTCTGTGTCAGACATGAAGTGGCAAATTAGCAACAGATACATAAGCAGCTAATATTTTATGTCTTGTTCTTGCAGAGCCTAAAGGGTTAACGACTTCAAAGGCATCCTGGTATAGTACTAGCTTCAAATATGATGGATGTTGACCAAAAAAATCACTGGATCTTAATATCTGACCATCACTAATGTCACTTAGAACATCTGAAGGAGACTCAGTTGAGTGCTCCCCTGACACACAACTCCGCCACAGATCAGATTCTAACAAGCATTTCAAAGTCTCTCTCACAGGCACATAATAGGCAGACCGATCTGTGCTGTTCTCATCTCTTCCTAAAAATATTTTCTTAGGTTCCACATAGCTGAACATTTTTTTTCTGAGACTGAGCTCTTGAGAATGCTGTCCTCATTGGCCCTGCGTGACATGTAGGGAACAGATCAAATCCCCGGACAGACTCACAAACTTTGGTGATGTCCTTATCTGATAATGATGTGTCATTTTTTAGCAGTGAAGTAAGTTTACTCAAAGTATATGTCTGACCCAAGTCATGTATGTTTTGCATCTCCTCAACGATGTTCTGTATGGTCGAAGCAGGTAGAAGAAACTGCCCCTGCAATTTTAAGTAGAATAAGCCTACGTTTCTAAGAAAAAGATCGCTGAAATTTTCTGACACATCCATTTGACTCTCATCTGTACCTGTCTCATACACTTGAGGGTCAAAGTCTACTGATTCAATTGGAACACATGATGACTGAGAAGCAGATTCTCTGTATAAATCACTAATGCTGCTCTCTGCAAAATCTCTGTGCTTCCGTGACATGTGGGCGGTAAATGAAGATTTCACCTTGAAAACCTTTGTGCATCCTCTCACTGGGCAACTAACGGCACGACCTTCAACAATATGCTCCTTCAAGTGCGCTATTAGAGCTTTAGTATCTCTACACTGGCGTTCACACAGCGCCAATCCGCATTTAAAATCGGTAACAGCCGTCCCGACAGGAACGTTAACAGAAGCAGATACACTATGCCTCCGGTAAAAATGACCCTTAAACGCTCCATGTCTACAAAATGTCTGCTTACAGCCGGCTCCAAAACACTTACATAAACAACGTGGTTCATTTCGATGAAATTTGCAATGAAGCACATAACCCCTCAATGTCTTAACCGACTTGCCACAGAAATTACAACTAAACATTTCCTTAGCCAACCTTGGGTAAAGTTAGCTAGCTAGCTAGCTAACGTTCAATGCAAAAGACCTAGCTTAGCTAACAATACACCGACGATGTTAGACAAAAGTCAACTCTCTCAATTCGTAAGATAGTTAGCTAGCTAACGTTAAGTTAACTTTGCATTCAATAACCAGATAGTTATTTCAAGGACAAGAAAAACTGCAAAAAAGGCCGTGTTAAAATCAACGTTAACATTAGCCAGCTGGCTAGTCCGCTAAAATAACCGTAGCCAACGTTAGGTAAATTACTTAACCTGACCTAGCTAGCAAACTTAAGGTAATATTAACGTAAAGTTATTACAAACCCAAATGAACCTTCGAGAAAGCTTTTACTCTCAGACTGGAACAATTTACGTTGACGTGCTTACCTCAAGACCACATTCTTCCAAGCCCAGGAGACAGGACGTTGTGCCATCAATGTTGCCAGCGTAATCCCCACGGACCAGCACAGCTAGGCGCGCTGAAATGGCGGTAATTGCTTGGTGATGGGGTCAAAAGTTCGCTTTCCGTTAGCGTTGCACAAGACTCTCTCGTCTCTCTCTCCGTTTAAATTAGGAAGTTACCATGTACTCTGAAGCAGTTTAAAAACAAAGCATAATAATTTGTGAGCAGTTGGTGAGCAAATTTTTCTTAAAGCCCCTTACAGCAGTGTTTTACAGGCTGTATAATAGGCTGAAGAGTCTAATGTAAACCCATGCTTTGGAGTTTTTGTTCTGTAAAAACATGGTGTTATTAATTGTAATGCACATCATTTTTATAATTTTCGTTTAAACTGTGTGTATTTTGATTATGTTGGGGAGTCACATTTTATTGTGCGTAACTGAAATATAGTATGGAAAATTAAATCACTGTATTGTTAAAAAATGACAATATAAAAGACAATATCTATATTCTTATTACATCAGTGAAGTTATGCCTTATTAGTTATGTTAATTAGGGTAATTGCTGCAATCATAAGGGCGGCACGGTCACAGCAAGAAGGGCCTGGGTTCGATTCCCGGCCGGGCGACCGGGAAGGTCATTTCTGTGTGGAATTTACCTGTTCTCCCCATGTCTGCGTGGGTTTCCTCCCACAGTCCAAAAGCATGCGGACATGCTGAATTGCTCCTAGGTGTGACTGTGTCTGTCTCCCTGCGATGGACTGGTGACCTGTCCAGGGTGTATCCTGCCTTCCGCCCAATGACAGCTGGGATAGGCTCCAGCACCCCACCGTGACCCAGAAGGATAAGCGGTTTAGATGATGTATGTATGTATGCTGCAATCATCTAATGTCCTATGTGTTCTTATAACAACAACCTGATAGATCCAAGCAACCAGCAACTCCCTAGCAACCACCTACAGACACCCCAGTAACCACTCAGTACATTCTACTATGTAGAAACACCCTGACAACGACCACGTACATCTTAGCAACCACTAAGTACACTGTAGCAACACCCAGTATGCTATAGTAGCCACCAAGCACTCTAGCAGCCTAACAATCACCTAGAAAAACCAGCCACCATAAAACATAAACACCCTATCACCCATGTAGAACATTCCAACAGTCACCTAGAAACACCCTAACAACAACTCTAACCACACTAGTAGCCATCTTGCACTTTCTAACAACCACCTAGTACTTACTCCTTGGCAACCAAATACTTCACCTCAGCAACAACCTAGATACACAACAGATGCCATCTTAGTTGTTACATCTTAGTTTATAGCCTGGAACAGCCTTGCAACCACCAAGTGCACCCTTGCAGCCACCTACAAAGACCTTAGCAACTGGCTAGCCAGATACCAAGCATATCTCGGTCTGCTGGTTTGATAGGACACCCCGCTGACTGTTTGCCACTGCTGTTCCACCCTCAGACCACCCAGATTTTTGTCCTGCATACAAGTTCTACCTACATTTTAATCTCCCCAGACAGATTTTAAACGCAGAGCCTTTTATTTTAGAAAAAATAAACTAATATTACAAACATCTAAGAGAAAAATAATGACTAGGCCTGATATAAAATTATTTTATAGAAAATGTTGTTGCTGACTCTGTGCTAAATTAAAATTGTTTACTAAACTAATTTACAAAGTAAAATAGGAAAAAATAAGTAAAAAGGACTGTGAGTGGAAAATGAGCAATAATGAGTGGAATTTTTTCTATTATTCTGCTTAAACACCAGTGAGCCACTCAGAGAACACTGAACAAAATGCCAGTGGACCACCAGCTTTGCCATCAGCGGGCCAACAGTAGTCCTCTATCCTCTTGCTATCAGGGTAGTACACCCTAGCAATCACCTGCACTTTAGATACCACCTACAGCTTAGCTACCACATGGTACATGCTAGCAACCACCTAGTTCACCTTATCAAACACAACACCCCAGCAGCCACCTTGTGCATGTTCATAACCAACTAAAATACCTTACCAATCACCTAGACCAACAATAAAAAAAAAACAAACAAACACCCTAGCAACCATCTAAAAACACCCTTACAACCACCTAGTAAACCCTGGCAACCACCAAAGATTGCTAGCATTGCTGCACAGCAATCAGTTGAATTTCTTCAAGAAATACATCTTTCTGGTAATGTTTTTGTTTTTCATTGCACATAACACATTAGCTGTCAAATTGAACCCATATTTACAAGGATATCACCTAAAATTACTGTAAATTACAGTATATTTAAACCGATGTTTTACCATGAAAATAAACATTATTTAACAAACATATACCATATTTTTAACATCTTGTTTCTATAGAAATTAAGGTATAATTTTGCTGAATGGTAGAAGGCTTTAGACTGTAAATTTAAATGTACACATCAGCAAAATCCATAGTTTATACAGAGTAATACTGTTAATTTTAGGGTAATTACTTGCTAGTGGCTTTATGGTATTTTCCCATTAATTTTACTAAAATGTTATATTTTCACAGTAAAAATGTGCATGTTCTACATATTATGACAGGAAAAAATAAAGTAATGTAGTGTTTCTTGATTTAGGGTAAGCCATTGTATCCACTACGGTGAGATACTATTTTGCATTTCATGGTCTTTTACTGTTGCCAATTCATAGTTTTTTACTGTAATATCTACAGACATTTTTACAGTGCAGTTCGACCTGAAATAAATTCAAATTAAAGACTTTGGATTCAAGAAATCGGCAGAGATATAAAGTGCTCATATTGCTGCGGATCACATCGAAGCTCATTCTTTGTCATTATGAAGAGATCGATTGTTGTGGGAAACAGTTGCACCTGAAATAAAACCAAATTAAAGACGTTGCTGCGAGATCCAAGAAATGGGAAGACATTTAAAGGACTCCTATTGCTGCGGATCACATCGAAGCTCATTCTTTGACATCATGAAGCGTTCGATTTTGGTGGGAAAGACTTAGATCTGAAATAAAACCAAATTAAAGACGTTGCGGCGAGATCCAAGAAATGGGCAGAGATACAAAGCGCTTGTGTTGCTGCTGATCACATCGAAGCTCATTCATTGTCATTATGAAGCGAGCAATTGTGGTTGGACCCAGTTCGACCTGAAATAAAGCCTAATTAAAGACTTCGGGGCGAGATTCAAGAAATCGGTAGAGATATAAAGTGCTCATATTGCTGTGGATCCCATCGAAGCTTATTCTTTGTCACTATGAAGCGTTCGATTGTTGTGGGAAACATTTCGATCTGATATAAAGCCAAATTAAAGAGGTTGCGGCGAGAACCAACAAATGGGCAGTAATATGAAGTGATCAGTTTGCTGCGGATCACATAGAAGCTGATTCTTTCTCATTATGAAACGATCGCTAGTGGTGGGAAAGACTTAGATCTTAAATAAAGCCAAAGAAAAGACGTTGCGGCGAGATCCAAGAAATGGGCAGAGATACAAAACGCTTGTGTTGCTGCTGATCACATCGAAGCTCATTGACTGTCATTATGAAGCGAGCGATTGTGGTGGGACCCAGTTCGACCTGAAATAAAGCCGAATTAAAGACTTTGGGGCGAGATTCAAGAAATCGGCAGAGATTTAAAGCGCGCGTGTTGCTGCGGATCACATCGAAGCTCATTCTTTGTCATTTTGAAGCTATAGATTGTGGTGGGAAACATTTCCACCTGAAATAAAGCCAAAATAAAGACATTACGGCGAGATCCAAGAAAGTTCCAGAGATATAAAGCGCTTGTGTTGCTGCTGATCACATCGAAGCTCATTCTGTGTCATCATGAAGCGTTCCATTGTGGTGGGAAACAGTTTGACCTGAAATAAAGCCAAATTAAAGACTTTGCAGCGACAACCAAGAAATGCGCAGAGATATAAAGGGCTAAGGTTGCTGCCGATCACATCGAAGCTCATTCTTTGTCATTATGAAGCGATCGTTTGTACTGGGAAACAGTTCGACCTGAAATAAAACCAAATTAAAGACGTTGCTTGGAGATCCAAGAAATAGGCAAAGATACAAAGCGATCGTGTCGCTGAGGATCACATCGAAGCTCATTCTTTGTCATTTTGAAGCGATCAATTGTGGTGGGAAACATTTCGACCTGAAATGAAGCCAAATTAAAGACATTGCGGCGAGATCCAAGAAATGGGCAGAGATATAAAGCGCATGTGGTACTGATGATCACATCGAAACTCATTCTTTGTCATTATGAAGCGTTCGATTGTGGGGGGAAACAGTTCGACCTGAAATAAAGCCAAATTGAAGAGGTTGCGGCGAGATCCAAGAAATGGGCAGGGATATAAAGCGCTCATATTGCTGCGGATCACATAGAAGCTCATGCTTTGTCATTATGAAGCGTTCGATTGCGGTGGTAAACATTTAGACCTGAAATAAAGCCTAAAAAAAGACGTTGCGGCGAGAACCAACAAATGGGCAGAGATATAAAGCGCTCGTTTGACTGCCGATCAAATCGAAGCTCATTCTTTGTTATTATGATGCCTTCGATTGCGATGAGAAACAGTTTGATCTGAAATAAAGCCAATGTAAAGACGTTGCGGTGAGTTCCAAGGAATGGGCAGAGATATAAAGCGCTCAGGTTGCTGCGGATCACATAAAACTCATTCTTTGTCATTATGACGCGTTCGAATGTGGTGCGAAACAGTTCGACCTGAAATGAAACCAAATTAAAGAGTTTGCGGCGTGAACCAAGAAATGGACAGAGATACAAAGCTCTCGTGTCGCTGAGGATCACATCGAAGCGCATTCTTTGTTATTATGAAACGATCGCTTGTGGTGGGAAACATTTCGACCTGAAATAAAGTCAAATTAAAGACGTTTCGGCGAGATCCAAGAAATGGGCAGAGATATAAAGCCCTCAGGTTGCTGCAGATCACATCGAAGCTCATTCTTTGTCATTATGATGCGTTCGATTGTGCTGGGAAAGACTAAGCTCTGAAATGAAACTAAATTAAAGAAGTTGCGGCGACATTCAAGTAATGGGCAGGAATAAAAAGCGCTCGTTTTGCTGCGGATCACTTCGAGGCTCATTCTTTGTCATCATGATGCATTCAATTGTGGTGGGAAACAGTTCGACCTGAAATAAAACCAAATTAAAGACGTTGCTGCGAGAACCAAGAAATGGGCAGGCATGAAAAGCGCTCGTGTTGCTACGGATCACATCGAAGGTCATTCTTTGTCATTGTGATAGGTTCTGTTTTGGTGGGAAACATTTTGATGTGAAATAAAGCCAAATTAAAGACGTTGTGGCGAGAACCAAGAAATGGGCAGGCATGAAAAGCGCTCCTGTTGCTGCGGATCAAATCGAGGCACATTCTGTTTCATTGGGATGCAATCAATTGTGGTGGGACACAGTTCAACCTGCAATAAAACCTAATTAAAAAAACGTTGCATTTGGGAACCATTAGACAAGCATTTGGCAACAATTAGACAACCATTTGGCAACCATGTAGCGACCATTAGAAGACCATTTGGCTACCAACAGATAACAATTTGGCAACCACTAGACACCCATTTGTCAACCATTTGGCAACCATTAGACAACGTTATTTACACCAATAAAACGATTAGAAACCATTAGACAACGATTAGAAAAGAATTTGGCAACCATTAGACAACCATTTGGCAACCATTAGACAACCCATTGGACA